TGAGTTTTTTTGCTTCGACAATATAGACATCAATATCATATCATGTCATTCATATAAAGTGCCATATCTTGGTGGTTTTCCAAACAAATTATAACCTCAAAATGAATTTTATTTTGTGTGATAATAAGTTCTAAAACTCGGTCGCGGTATAATAAATACATAATGAGAATTAGTTAGTGACACACAATAAAATATTTTCCTATATTTTTTTGTCTCTGGGGCCACCAATGTATGGACATTGAGCAATGTCCTTTTAATGCCTTGATTATTATATACTAGTGGCCGCCAGCGACTTCGTCCGCGTTTTCCATTATTTCTTCGCTCCTAATAGTTGCAGCGTGCTATTATATAGCCTTAAGCCTTCCTCGATAAATGGTCTATTCAACACAAAAATAATTTTTCAATTCGAACCAGTACTTCCTGAGATTAGCGCGTTCAAACAAACAAACTAACTCGTCAGCTTTACTAATATTATAAAGCTCAACAATCATTTATATTTTATTTTTATATATTTAAATTTAATTAATGATTTTATGATGTTTTAATGTTAATTTGTGTATTATAATTTTAATAATTTAATTAATTAATTTTGCTTTCACTATCGCATTGGGCTACACCTGTAATGATAGTTATAAGTTATGAAATAATTAAACATCTCAGAGTTCAAGGATCTTTTAAGCATTTTTCATTAAGAATTACCTAGGTATCTACATATATTATAATGATACAGACAGTTATTTTAGAATTGCCATGTGAAAAGTAGATTGTGATAGAAAGTAATAAATAGAAAATATGAGGTAAAATATGTCTTATAATTGCGCCTTTCTTTAAGTAAATATGCAGTAAGGTTGCGATGTGGCCCCTAAATCTTTGATAGATACAGTACGCTCTATGACCCCGCTGTCGCGTCATCCGTCACCCGGGTTCGTTCAAAAATTCTCCCTCGACGTTAACACTTGATTAATGTTTCAAAAAGTCCAATTAAGAGTAACGTCGTGCGTTTTATTTAAGTTCAGCCCGTATGCTACAGCTGTGCACGGGGGTCGGAAAACGGTTTTTTTTACCCAATTAATATCGAGAATTCGTTCGATATCTGTACCCGAAGTAGCTATTTGTATACGGCGTATATTTAGTTTAAAAGTATCGATTTTTAGTTATCATCTATCCTAACCATATCCTGATTTCATGATAGCTTTTTTTATAACGAATGGATTCGTTAGTTAACAATGATGTAATTTTTTTTTGACATGTTTTTGGGTCCACTCTGACAAATGAATTTATTTCACAATAATATTATTTAAGCATTGTACTTATATCATTGTATATATCATGTACTTATATCGAGGGCGCTCAAGGGAGACGGAACCTGTAGGCCGCGGGGATGAGAGTACTGCAAGGAAGGCCAAAGGGGACAGCCATTAAACATATTCTATCCTAATCATATCCTAATTTCATGATAGCTTTTTTATAACGAATGAATTCGTTAGTTAACAATGTTGTAATTTTTTTTTATATCATGTTAACATCACAATAATATTATTTTAGCATAGTACTTATATCATAGACTAGAAGAGAATATTGAGTATCATTTTGTAACATGTTATTGGCTGAAGCTGATAATCTAAATTTGATAAACCAATCAGTTATTGAAAATATTTTAATTATCGTTCATCCGAATACAATGGTGGTTGGCCTGCCCGATGAAACTCGCTGCAATGTACCCTCACGTGTGTTGTGAACCAGTTCTTCGGAGGGTTCAAGATCAGATCTCTTCAGGATCTTCTTCGCGTCTCCTCCTACATTCTATAAGCGGGAATATAATCGAGGGCATGAGTAGACAGTGAACCGTAGGATACCTGGTATATTAGTCTAACGCATCTGTTTAGAATAAAGAGAGGATGCAATATCTTTTTTTTTGTGTGTGTATAGAGTACTGATAGGGCTTACTACTTAGGCTTCTTCCCTTGGGTCTTTCTTGGAGTACTCTCATCCCCGCGCCCTACAGATTCCGTCTTCCTCGAGCGCCCTCAAAACAGTTCTACGCTGTGCATTGTCTGGCTTGGCAATGCCAGAAAACTGTTGTGGATGCTCTGTGTAAGAGTAAGTTTATGTTTGGTGATGATACATATGTTTATTTGCCGTCGACATTTTACAGTTAGTAACTCGGTATAAAAATTGGTAAATATCATATTTTATCGGTATGTACAAATATTTAGGGAATTTCCAAAATGGACCATCAATAAGTCACCTTAAGTAAGTTTATATAACTGACTAGTTTAAAGTTAATCAACAATAATTCTGTAAATTGTTGGAACCCGTAGACTCGCTAGGAGTTTCGAGACGAGAACTTCGGAAGTTTGACTATAAACTTAATTGATCGACAAGTATAGACAGGCCGTCTCCAGAATAGTAAAATGAAATTGATAGAATCTATTGTAAGTCACGTTTGGAATCTTGAGAACCGAAGTTCCGTAAGAGACACATACAACGAGTACATTAATTGCAGACATTAGTGTACTTGTTGTTAAGTTAGGCATTGTGCCAATATGTAATAAGATTGTTATTTTTCTTATAAACCTGCATCTTAGGCCATAGACCATAGAAGATTTAAAATGACGTAACTTAGCTATGTCATCTATATTAATCTTTCATGTTAAATGGTTGAGGATAATTGTTTTAAAAATCAGATTGCAAGATTTCACGAACCAATATAAATTTGAAAGCTATGATGCGATATGTTGAAATAAATTTATTTGTTTTGCACGCTCCTTCTTTAGAGATAATTAATGACTTTATTGTAGTTAAGAATGAGATGAATATTGGCTGTAAAAAACTTTATAACCTTAATTCATAATCAGTGCTTAGTTTTCCTCGAGGTTTTATTACATAGGTATAATATATTCTAGTATCTTACATTTGCTATTAGCAGTTAATGTTTTTCATCTTAACTAAAAAACATAACTGTACTGTGGGTTACATCACACAAGTGCCAATTTGCTGGACTTCTATCCTAGTCTAAAATGTTTCAGCTATTGCATTTAGTCACTGTATATTTAGGGTCCAATATTATTAGTACAATGTCATAGACACCTCAACAACATAGCAGGACTACATAGCTAATAAATAGCAACACTTCTATCAATTTCGACAATTTTGATTACAAAATAATTTTAATTTATTTTACTTATTCTATTTTTAATTTAATAATTCTATATATGTCTAGGCTTTAATATGAAGGCCAACTTCACACAGCTTGTACCATGTACGGTCATTCCTTTTTTTATGAATCACACATAGACCTAAAAATGTTATGACAGTAAGGCTGATGTATGTTTTTTGTCATTGATCCCCTTTTGGCCATTTCGAATTCTAAGGTGTTCTGACTTACATATAGGCAAATATAATAGTTTACTGTATACAGGCTTTAATAGCAAAGTCAAGGGGATGTAGCCCTATGCGACGGACAGACCAAATTCTCGCAAATACGGAAACTAGCGTCAACGCAGTAGAAGATCGAGGAAGATGGTGTAACTGGTCATCTACCCTATCATTTTTGTTTAAATGTGATGGGTTATAGTTCAGCTCGTAGATCAAACGTTATTTATTGTATATGTATATGTTATCTATCTAGTCCTACGAAGTTGCTACATATAACCCTATATAAAGTAATATTGTATTCGAATTATACTCATAATTAATTAATAACTCATCAATCAATTGTTATTAGAACTTATGCGTTACTTTATTTTGGTGTAGGTGTGTTATTGGCTCCAGTAAGTGATATAAGGCAATAGTCATAAAAAAGCGAATTTATTGTTAATGAAATGAAGGTTGCCGTAATAAAGGAAAAAGGAAAGTTTCTTACCGTTTCCACAATTGTTTTGAAGTAGGCAATAAAGAAATTTATAGTTTCGTCAAGTCTGTTTGTCTGCCTATGGTTTAGCTCAGAGGCACATAAAATTAACGCAATTAAAGTGGTATAAAAACCTGGAAAATATTTAACACGCTAGTTTATTTAACATTAAAATTTTCGAATACTGAAGTTTAGCTAATGACCCTTCGATTGTCGAAATTCTACCATAAAGATTCAACATTATTAAGATTTGATTATCAGAGACTATATATATGCTTTTATAAGATTGCTTGACATTCTTGTGGTAAACAAAAGATGGTCTCAACTGTTATATTAAAACATTTTAAATACAGAAAGTATGTAGTAAAAACTGTTCGTGATTTCGCCCGCGTAAAGTACCAATTCCGAAGATTACCCCTTTTTAAAAAACAAGGTTATAAACTTTATCTTTGTACAGTATTAGTGTAGATTGAGAAACAGGTCAATAAGTTAGAAAAACATGTTTAAATCTCGGACGGGGATTTTAAGTTTCTTCTTTTTTTTATATTTTGTAGTTTATTATTATTTATTTAGTTTGATTGATGAGGTGGAAGGTATCAAATCATAAATCCTGTTTTTTTACCTTGTCCCGTGCGACTTCAACCAACCTTAATTAGAGGAAAACAAAATACTAAAGGTGTCATGAAAACGTGTTGCAAAACTGACTTACATTTAATTTGGAACACAATTATTCAGTATAAAACAGACTGCGATACAAAATAAAGCAGCTTTTCTAGTCAGGTAAACTTTAATGTTCAGCGCCAACACATGAAGCTTGTATTTACAAAATTGTAAATATTGGCAAAATTCATAGTCCTGCAATAATGTTGACCCTATATTAGTCTTTGTTTTTTATTCAGAAGTAGTCGTTTTATCGCGACTTCACCTACTTAAATTATAGCTTATATCATTCGCGTATGTTGTAGTTTCCCCTAGATAAAAGAATTTATTAAAAACGTCCCGCCCAGAGCCTATCCAATGCACACAAAGAAATAATCAAATCTTTACGCACTATAAATATTAGGATGGCATGAACGAAATTTTACAATTGTTTTATTCTTGTAAAATTTATTTATTTATACATAATAAAAGTTAGACTTTGTTCCAGGCCGTGTGTTACGATGAGAATGCGCGTCGATTGGGGGCCCGACTACGTTCGCTCTACAGAAGACCCGCTGTAGCTTGCGAGATGGCGTCGGTGGTAGCACCCCGTGTTCTCTTCATCGTCGTCATGATGCTATCTAGAGGTAAGTTATTATAAGTCCGGTTGCTGAGCCGAGAGAATTTCGTACGTTCACTTTTGTTTCTCTTTGCATATCAGTTCCTCAAAGAAGTATTTATTTTATGAGTTTTTTGTAGTTGTACATGAAAAGTTAACGCGTTCGGTTACTTAGTAGTAATAACAGCTTCGCAAAACACATATGAATAAATTAGATCGAGAGTTCGAGATTCACTTAATAATAAATTATAAAAACAACTGAAATTTGAAAAGTTCTTAACTTAGATATCAATACAAATACGAAAGAGTACAAATAGAATATGAGTTGTTTATTGAGTTTTGAAAACTAATTTACTTTTAAACTTAAAAGAAAACCGGAAAGTTTGTGATGGAGAAATCAAGAACGTAAGGTAGCGACATCTAGTTTGATTTCGGGAACTATTTTTTTTTATTCTTTCTTATTTGTAAATTGTGAAAGAATATGGATTATAAATAAATATTTGACAGTTTGGACGTTTCGTAATCGACGAGACGTGACTTATTTTCTGTCAGATATGAAGGCCCTTAAGCTTTCAAAAACAGTATGCCATTTTAGGCGTCACTTCTTTATTCGTATCACGCGGGGATAATATCACGCGCGCCAATGGCTACTTGAGTCATAACAGATTGCTTTTTCTGTATTTTTCGTAGATTAAATATTACTTTAGTTTTTCTTATATAATCATGTTATTTTAATAAAACATAAATATTATTGGGGCTATAATGGAAGTTTGAGAAGGAACACAATTACTTCCTATTTTATGGCAATAGATAGCAATGGAGAATACTACAAGTTTGTATTGCACTATAAAGATTAATGTAAATTCTTGAATAAGTAACCATTGGTCTGATTTACATACGTGAGATTTGTAGTCTAGATTTTAGGATAATTTATATATACTGTGTTCTTTGTCAAACTTCCATTATAGTCTCAATAATATTTATGTTTTATTAAAATATCATGATCAAATAAGAAAAAAAGCCAAACATGTCCAATGTTATTTTTGGAGAATCTTCTAGAAGGACAGCGTTTTATGTTTTAAAAAGATAAAGAACTCTTTTATTGGATAAATAAAAAATCATACCATCACTTTGATTGTTCATTAACCTATATATATATAATATAAGATTGAAACTGGTTTTGCCCGAATCGTGTTATCATAATATAGGTATTATGATGCATCGTTATTTGAAATCCTCGTGGAAGTTACAGAAAATTGATGAAAATAATCGGATTCAGAAAATTTATTACGGTATAAAGAAAGGGCATAACGTAGGCAGAATGCGGCAGTTTGTTACGAAGTAGACCGCGGGCAAATTTCGACTTGTTATTGTGTACCGTTGAGAAATATAACTCGCCAGTTATAAAATATTGCGTTTGATTCAGAAATAATAATCAAAGAAGTTCCATTTGATTCGATAACTAGGGTAATGCCTCATTGGGTATTGATGAGCATTATCGAGATCATCATATTCATTAACACCCTTTAGATGTTCCCACTGCTGGGGCACAGGCCTACCTTTTCGATGGAATAATAATAATCTTTATATGCAAAAATATGGTTGCAGAGTAGTTTTTCAATTTTTGACCAGCATATTTTATCGTCAAGACGATGTTCAAATATTGCAGTCAAAATACAATAAATTGTTTCATTTTATATGAAAAAAATAATGACAAAATATTTAATAAGAAAATAATAGCGAATGTCTAATCATAGTCAAATGTTCATATTATAATCAAAGGATTCATACAATAATTAACAATGGGATTTATCTTGCAAGAACTCATTAATTGAATAATAATTTGGAATTGAATAATAATATGAAGGAAGGAATCGAATTGAACAGGGAGAATGGGTCATGACCCACCAAACGGATCCAGTAAGGTTTGGTGGGTCTTAACGACTGTAGATGCAACCAAGGGCTTAACGTATCCTCCGAAGCACGGAGGAGTTCCAGATAATAAACTTTTAGTCACTCATCCTGTGACCAGCCCTGCGATTCTGCAAAAATCTAAACCCGAATTCGAATTGACTACTGTGTCCCAATTCACGTCACTAAGTGAAAAAATTCTATAGCCTCCATTTTTTGTATGAAAATACAAAACAAAATTGTTTGATTATATGTGTCCCGGATATTCTATTTCTATGTTATTTCGAAACTCACTGCACTTATGCCACGAAAAGTTATTACCAATTCAAGATTGAGCGGATGCCGCTTTTTGGAGTGAATTCAAATTCGGGTTTGGATTTTTACAGAATTGCAGGGCAGCTTAGCGAAAGTTGCTTAATAACCGTATCGCGCCCCGAGCACGGTAACCACTGCACCTATATATCATCATCATCATCATCAGCCCGTATTCGTCCACTGCTGGACATAGGCCTCCCCAATTGCACGCCATCTAGTTCGATCCTCGGCACCTATACATATATGCTATAGTTATATTTATAAATAGAGAAGAAACTATGAAACATGACCGTGTACAATGAAAAGCTTGGAATTTTGTTAATAGGTTTGTTTATCTCCCTTTCTTTCCCACAAAGTCATCATTTGGTAAAAGTCTGTTTTACAGAGTTAAGATATGTAATCATAAAATGTACAAATGTTGAAAATTTCTGTCCAAACAGAATCAATGAAAATTCTAAGAATTGATTTATATAGCGCCGGTCATCATCAAATTCATCTGTAAATTAGATTTTCTTATATTAATATTTATATGTGAGCTTATGGGTTTTAAAAATCTGAAAATATCTTATTTTAACACTTTGTTTGATACTAACTAACTTAGCCTGCGTAAATTATAGCTTATATTAATGAATTTTCAAGGTCCAGTAGTTTGGAAACCTATTTGATTTGAAAAAAAAAACAAAAAATATCTTTATCATATCTTTACTCTTTATAATATTATATAGTATAGATAATACGTACATATACCTACACGTCTAAGACATGTGTTGTGACAATATTTGTTAATTTGAATTATTTTCATAAGATTGGAAACTAGTACTTATATAAGACAGTAATAGATACTAATAAAGCTGTAAAGTAAGACGTTGGGTGGCAAAATTTTGTGAAATTATCTTTTCACTCGTTTTCCCCAGCGGCTTCGCCCGCGTGGTTTTGTATTATACACTTGTGGCCGCACGCGACTTCGTCCGCGTTTTCCATTATTTCTTCGCTCCTAATAGTTGCAGCGTGATGTTATATAGCCTAAAGCCTTCCTCGATAAATGGTCTATTCAACACAAAAAGATTTTTTCAATTCGAACCAGTAGTTCCTGAGATTAGCGCGTTCAAATAAACTCTTCAGCTTTATAATATTACTATAGATTATTTATTTCGTGATGGTGTTATTTCATTTAATATTCTTTGTAATTGGTAAAAAAAATCTCTGAAGAAAATCCAGCCCAGGCGGGATATTTCAATGAGATACCGTAGAGATTTGTACGGAGCAAGACTTTATGTACGATAAAGTGTTCCGGTGGCTAACGAAGTGTCTCGGCACAATTTCACATTTTATGGAAATCCTCGGACTTTATATTTTTCATTAGTTGTTTAATTAAAAGGTTTTATTTAATAATTATATTTTCAAACACATTTACGTCTTGTTTACATAGTTTCAAAATCCAATTTAAAATGTTGGATTTAATTTTTGGCTGAATAATTATATTTATATTTCACCGTTCGCAAGAAGACGATTATATATTTATTTCGCTATAAATTCAGTAATTCTCAACTGTAATATATAAATAAAAAAAATATATGTTATATTATGAATAGGTTATTTGTAAAGGGTCCGAAGCGTCAATGAAACTAAATACAAACGCGATGAAACCGTTTAAAAGTTGTTTCATTTATAAAAAATACATAACATAATTTTTATACTAAAAACATAGTTATATGAAATTCAAGATGTCCTTGGATTTTTGAACAAGTGTATTGAATTTATTAGGTAAGCCTTTTTAATCAGTGACTTTAAGTTGTATAATTTAATTTCGTATCTTTGAAGAAAATTATTTCATAAATGCATTTTTAATTTAGGCATTAATAATAAAAGGTGAATTACATTCAATATGCTTCTGACGGTTTAGTACTATTTCACAATTAACTATATAATATAATATTGTATTGTTCTGAATGGCTGCGCTTGGTCCCAGTCGAGCATAAATCTTATATCACTATTTTATGTGAGACAGGCCATATGTCTCTGCGAACCTTGGCTAGCTACTAGTTCAGGCAATGGCATATATGCAAAGTTAATAATTAATTTATTTTCAACCTATTTCAGTTATCTTATTTACTGAATAGGTTATAGCTTATATACACTTCGATCTGACTTTGTTTGACTATACCTATATTATGATTAAATATCAGTTCATGACATAATTTTTATTATTTGCTCGTGTCCTGACAATTGTAATTATCTAACATTCAATAGTCACAATTGGTTTAGGTATTCTTTGATATATCAAATATTTTGTAAATCCTATTAGTATTATAAATGTAAAAGTTTCTTTGTTTGGATGTTTGTCCGTCAATCACGCCGCAACTACTGAACTTTTGATGAAATTTGTTATACAGATAGGATATTAGCTGACTTAGATAATAGGATACTTTTTATCTCACTAAACATTTCCCTAGGGTCCACGCGGACGAAGCCGCTGGCGAAAGCTAGTATCTATATAATAATGACTAAAAGGTATTCTGCTATATCTAGCAAATAAAATACATGAAAATCGGATTAGCCTTTTTTTAGGTAGGAGTATTGCAACTTTTTTAAATCTCGTACCAGACGATGAAGATGCATAATATTATATCCTAAGATGAAATATCGCTCTCCATACAAGTTCGGCTAAAATAATATAATCATTTCATATAAATCATTATTAAGATGCCAAGTGATACGGAAATATATACTTATAAAGTGTTTTAAAATATTATCATATCTTAAACGTGGTAATAGCTTAAGATGTTAAAATATGTTATCTTA